GCCACCCCGTCGGACTCAACTTGTATCGGCCCCAATCCTGCTGGTCCTGTCTGTCTAAGATCTAAACACAGCGTGGGTAGACAGACCGAGATCGGTACAGTTGCTTTAGTGACCAGGTATTGAAGCGAGTCGGGAAAGGCGAGGCTGGTGATCATCTGACCAAGGGGTTGGAGCGGCACGCTTGGACCCAGGAGGAGCGACCAGGAGGAGCGACGTCACCGTTGGCGCCGTAATCAAAGGATCCGACCCTGGGCCAGGTGTGTAACCGTCACATACATTCAAAATGAATTTATTACATGAATGCATTTAAAATGATTTTACTATAGAAATGTAATGAAAATGATTTTACAATAAGAATGCACTGAAAATGATTTTACTATACAAATGCATTGAAAAGGATTTTACTATAAAACTTAGATGCTTCCGGTGATAGCTATTATTTCTTTTGTTAATCATCATTTGACTTCATTTAAATCTTGAGCATTGATTTTTTTCCTTACAAACTGAGTTTGATTATCAAACTGTTCATCATCCATCTCATCCTTCTTTCAAGTGAGTTATCCATTCGTAAATTGCTAATTTCTCTCAGGGAATGAGCACTGTAAACTTTTCTCAAATCACTTAATGTCCTCAGTTTTTCAACAAAGTTTTACCATAGATTTGACATTAGTTGTTGCTTCAATTTTGACAATTTATGCTGCTCTAAAGTGGGTTGTCTTTAAATTGAATTTTTTCAATCTATTATGTCAAAATACCACACTGCAGGTGAAAACTATGACCGTAGAATTTCATTAGCACCAAGCTTTCTTCTCAAATGAATCATCGTTCAGGATTTGTGAAAGGAAATAAATTCAAATGTATTTTAAAACTTTTACTAAACTGCAGGCGAAAATTGTTGCTGTAGAATTGTCTCCCTTTGCTACACTAGGTACATTCTGTCAATTTGAGATGGTTGCTATAAATAAACACTTATCAACTGTTATTTTTGGTATTTTAAGCTGGAAATCGCCTAGTACTGCTTTGGAACAAGGTTAAACTTCTGTTTTCCAGCACCATTTTGAATTCTTCTAGACTCTACATGAAGTATAACACCAATTAAACCCATGTTAATTTTTTCGCAATCTTTTGTAAACAAAAATGGCCACCTCAATATCCAACAAAGCCTTTATTCAGGAGTTTTCTTTGATTAGGACTCTGATGATGATTGATGGAGAAATGGACAAAGATGATAACCATGCTAGTGACATGGAGGAAAGCAATGTTACCACCAGCAGCTATTATCATCCATGCCTGACTAATTTTATGGAAGCAACTGGTGACCATCGATATAACTGATAGCCTTTCTGAAGGTGAATTATTTTGTCTATTTATAAACAACAAAATAATGACTTTATTTGTCAATGAGCAAATAAATATGAGTCAAGTGAAAGAAAAAGCAAACAAATGCTGGTGTTTTCTCATATGTAAACATGAGGAAACATGTCACTTTTTTGACAAAATGAAAGCCTTCTTAGAAATTCTGCTTCTTTTAGCCCCCCCACCCTAGAACTCCACAAGTAGTAATAAAAGTTAAAGTATGTTGAATCATTTATGTATTTTTTAATGTATTTGTTTATATTGCAGTTTTTATTTCGTGTTTCAAATTTTTTTGTTTTCAACATCAAAACATGCATGCAAAACGTAATGCATTACATAATGCATGACATCAAAATATTAGTCATTCATTCTTTTATTAGTGTACAAAAATTAAAACCTATATGCATAATACAAAGAAAATTATAACCATTTTAAAATAGTAGGTGTCATGTTTTTGCACCCTCAAAAAAAATGCAGTGGCAGGGGGAACAATTCTAGAAAGAAATTAGCGTAGTAATGATTAAACTGAAGTATTTTCAATCTATTATTTCAAAATACCCTTGGTTCATAAAGCTTTTATAGATAAATTCAAGTTTACTTTACTTGGAAAAGGGGAATAACAATCTTGTTGATCTCCATTTTCCAATGTCCCATTATAGGCATTAGTATATCTATGATATACTAACACCATAGCAAAATGGACGTAGGGACTTGAATAACCAAAAGAAATGAATGCCAAATATGCATGGTGCAACAATTGAAGAATCTACTAAGTTTGTCTGTTTCACAAAATAGCAGTTCTTGAAGAGATGTCTAAATTGAAATTCCTGTAATATGAAATGAATGGGGATGATTTTACCCTGGGTATCTGGCAGAGTGGTTCTTAGCTGTGCAAGTCAGAACTTGTGGAACTAATGAATGCAACTTGTTAGAAGATTTTCTCATGGAAAGAAGAGTTGTATCTGTGGGTAAAAGGGTTGTAAAGTGGAAAATTATTCATCACCAACAAGGCTTCATAAATGTTTTTGAACTATGTCAAGGCTAAAAAGTGAGGACTGGGCAGCTCCAACCCAGCAGTACTCCATTTTTGGTTTGATCTGGCTCTTGTAAAGATGGACGGTATTTTGGTTTGGTTTGGTTTGGTTTGGTTTGGTTTATGGCATATCAACATCAATGGTTTATTTAATGCCGACAGAATTTTTATTGCTGGTAATATATCTTTATTTTCAAAAATGTATTGCTGGTAATATTTTTTTCCAAAATGCATTGCTGGAAATATTTTTTCTAAAAATGGATTGCTGGTAATAATTTTTTCTTCAAAAATCCATTGCTGGCAATATTTTTACAAAAATGGATGCTTCTGCTAAATATTTGATAAAATCTAAAGAAGAATATGCAATGTTATTGGTCCTGATCTGACATCTTGCCTTCAGTCACTTTCCCAACACCATAACATAGCTTCCCTGTGTCTTTTCTATCATTGTAATCATTCTGATGAACTTTCCTCTATGGTACTTTTGTATGCAATTTGTCACTTTACTGTGGGGAGTATACATTTGATAGGATTGACTATTGATTTCTGGAGGCTGTTTTTTCTGTTGGCATTTTCAGGCCGTACTTTTGCACCTGGATCAGACTTCTGAATGCGCCTCCCTGAATACTGGTGGAAGTGAATGGGGTTCAAGCTAAGCATTTCATATTGGCTGTTCACTTTTGCCTTTGCTGTACATTGTACCTTTGGTGGTGGTGGAGGTGGTGGGATATTACTAATACTATTTTGTTTAGTTTCATGTACATAAATTGTATTCATTGTAAATATTCATTATGGTTTCATTTTTAAAAATGTTGTTTTTACTCCCTCACCCCAGACAAATTGTACATATGGAGACTAGTTAGGACTACTTAAAGACTTTGAGGTATTATGGTATCAAGAATGGTAAGTAAGAATCTGTTGTTTTCGTGTGAGGAATACTGTGGTATGTTTGGGTCACTAATTGTGGCTAGCTTAGTTTAAGATAAGACAGTGTGAAGACCAGCATTCTCCTATCCCCTTTTTGACCTTTTGGCACATTTTGTATTGGAACAAAATATTACTTTCCGCTATGGTACCTAGACTTTATGAATTTAAACTTATGAATTTGGTGGCAAGATCTCATAATTTTATAATTGAATTGGCTAGATGTAACTGTAAGTTCTATGCTAACAGTTTCTTCTCTCACACTTCTCACTTGTGGAAGCCTTTTTGCTTTTCAGTTTACTTTCATCTTCAAAAATTTTAATGCAAAATCAATTGTTATTTTCTGTCTTCTAATTCCTGTTTTTTTGTTGTTCTCCAGAGTTTTTTTTTTCTCATATTCTCTGACACTCTCTTTATTGGCATTATGGCTTTGCTTGGGCTGAAAGGATTAAAACCATTATTCAATGCATGAGGCCTCTTTGAGAGAACAGCCGTTCATCATGGAATGTGAAAGTTCAGTGTTTGCTTGCAGATGATGAAATGTTACTAGCTTGGTTTTTGGAGATATTAAATGTTACAAGAGAGTTTTTCCCCCCATTGATCTGTTAGGGAGATATCAGCTGCCAGGCTAGAGGTGCACCCATACACTCTTGTATGATTTGCGTAGATATTTATTCATGATCTGAGCATGTTCTTAGGGATAGAGTAATGAGAGGCTAGCAACCTTGTTTTGTAGGGTTGAAAAATAATACATCACCTAAAAGACAGTGTAAATGCTTTTGAAGGTTGTACAGCTCCAGTCAAGATATGACAGCAATGCCTCATTTTGGGTTTGATATGGCTCTTGTAAAGATAGATTAATGCAGAAGGAGTTAGTTATTATTAAGGAGCAGTATGAGGAACCAATCATTTTCCCACTATCTTTAGCGATGGATCATATACATGAGTTCCACTTGAGGCCCCAAAAGATGTTCCAGGAGCTTCGTTAAGAGAAGACCAGTTCATCATGATAGGTGAACATTCAGGTTCTGCTTAGTGATGATGAAATTGGAGGAATACAAAAGTTGATTATTGCCCTATGGCAGAGTTAAGTCACATGGACCACATGATGGCCATTTAGTGATGTTACTTTATAGTGACAAGAGTGGCCAGTCATTGTTTACAGTAGCCAAACCAAGTGGTTGCTTTTTGATCCTGTGTCAAGGCACTTGAACTGAGGCTAAATCTGCCTCCTCCAGCAATATGTATGTCTTAGTGGTATAAAAGTCTCTCTGAGAACAAAATATGTTTGTCAATCCTTTTCTTTTCCACAATTTCATTCTGACTGTAAAATACAGTGTTGTTATATCATGGATATAATACTGCCCATAACAGGGGAAATAGAATAAATCTTTCTTCCAAGTCTCTCCTCCTGTTATAAAATGCTACTAACTTGGGTTTTGGAGGTAGGGAATGTTACAAGCCAGTTTTTATTTCATCGAGATGTTAAAGACAGCTCAGAGGCAAAAACATTTGCCAGACTAGAGGGGCTCCCAAACTCTATTGTATGATCTGCCTAGATATTTACTATCGATCTGTCGCTGCTGTTGCTGATGTTCATGTAATGCTGAAAAGATATCCTCAATTAATACTAACAGAAGACTTTGTTCCTTTGCTGACATTAGACAAGATCTACATCTATACTTACTGAAAAGGGCCTCCATATCTACTGGTTTTGTGGTGTATATCATTCCAAGTGACAGTGTCTTGCATGTTGGTTGTTTTGGAGGTGCCAACAGTGAAAATTAATTTCTGCAGAAAGGCTTTCTGAAGCATTTTCAAGACAGTTTCTCCTTCCTTATTAGCTGGTAGATAAGCAGTCCGACTTGTGCCATAGAATCTCTTTCCAGGATTGGGATGTCCCTTCTGAATGACAATGGAAACATACAACACATTCAAAAGAAATTTTCAAAAAAATTTTCTTTACATTAAATATGCAGCAATTTCCAAAAATGAATCTTAAAAATCTAAAAAGATCAATCTCAGACAATTTCTAAATGTTATCATATATTTTTCCAAAAGTAAACATTCAGAATTTTTTCAAAAGTTAAATCTTTAAACATTTCTTTAAGAAAAAAAACAACAGAAATTGTAAGAAGTTTTTCACAGAATATTACGTTTATCCATTTGTAAAATTAAAAAAGTTTAAACTGGTCCTCCCCACCTGGAAAATTTGTACAACACAATCTTTCTTTTATCAGTTCCCTTCTATTTAGATATTTGTTACACAAAAGTAATCTTTGTAAATATCAAGTCTCACGAAACTTCACACCATAGAATAGTTGCACAAGTCATTTTCCCATCTCTAAGCCTTATAAGAAATCTTCCCATTTCTAAACCCTATAAGAAGTCTTCTCATCTCTAAGCCATATAAAAAATCTTCCCATTTCTAAACCCTATAAGAAGTCTTCTCATCTCTAAGCCATATAAAAAATCTTCCCATTTCTAAACCCTATAAGAAGTCTTCTCATCTCTAAGCCATATAAGAAATCTTCCCATTTCCAAACTCTATAAGAAATCTTCCCATTTCTAAACCCTATAAGAAGTCTTCTCATCTCTAAGCCCTATAAGAAATCTTCCCATTTCTAAACCCTACAAAAAATCTTCCCATTTCTAAACCCTACAAGAAATCTTCCTATTTCTAAACCCTATAAGAAATCTTCCCATTTCTAAACCCTACAAGAAATCTTCCCATTTCTAAACCCTATAAGAAATCTTCCTGTCTCTAAACGCTATAAGAAGACTTCTCATCTCTAAGTCCTATAAGAAATCTTCCCATCTCTAAACCTTATAAGAAGTCTTCTCATCTCTAAGCCCTATAAGAAATCTTCCCATCTCTAAACCTTATAAGAAGTCTTCTCATCTCTAGGCCCTATAAGAAATCTTCCCATCTCTAAACCTTATAAGAAGTCTTTTCATCTCTAAGTCCTATAAGAAATCTTCCCGTCTCTAAACCCTATAAGAAGACTTCTCATCTCTAAGTCCTATAAGAAATCTTCCCATCTCTAAACCTTATAAGAAATCTCATCTCTAAGCCCTATAAGAAATCTTCCCATCTCTAAACCTTATAAAAAGTCTTCTCATCTCTAAGCCCCATAAGAAATCTTCCCATCTCTACATCAGATAAGAAATCTCTCTATTATTACATCATATAAGAAATCTTGCTATCTCTAAGTGATATAAAAAATTTCACATCTCTAAGCAATATAAAATATCTTCCGGTCTTTAAGCCATATAATAAATTTTCCCAAATCTAAGCCATATAATACATCTCTCTAAGTTATATAATAGATCTTCCTATCTCTACACTTGATAAGAAAACTTCCCATGCTGAAGCTATATAATAACGCTTCCTATCTGTAAACCCTATAATGAATATTCTTATCTCTACACTAGATAATAAATCTTTTCTACTTTAAACTATATAATAAATTTTCTAATCTTTACACCATATAATAAATCTTCCCAACTCTACTCTATATAATAAATCTCTACATTATATAATAAATTTTCCCATTTGTAAGCTATATAATAAATATATATATATTCTATATAATAAATCTTCCTATTTCTCAGCGCTATAATAAATCTTTCCATCTCTGCTCCATATATTTCTCATCTCTGCACCATATAATAAATCTTCCCATATCTATACCATATAATAAATCTTCACATCTTTTCACTATATATAAATCTTTCCATTTCTAAGCCATATAATAAATCTTCCCTTCTATACTTCTTATACTTAAGAACTATTAATAAAAATTATACAACTGAACTTTTGGTTACCTTTTGGTTACCATCGGGTATGTAATAATAATCCAAAACATATGTTCCACAACCTGAAAATCCTGGCAAAGAACAGATTTCTTTTTTGACTGACATTCTTCCTGGAGGTTGTTGTCCAATTTCTTTGCCATAAACTGTCTGGCAAACTCGACAGTAAGGTCCGACTGCAGAGAAGCTGCGGTCGATGCAAGCAGAACAGAATGAATGCCCACACTTGTCCAAGGTTTTTTTGCCTGTAAAATCACAGAGGCAAATTGGGCAGCTGTCATCTGTTTCTGTTTCCATATCCACATCCATGGGTGTCTCTTCTGCTGTTGCTCCTGTTGGAGCTGAAATTGTCTGGTTACTGGTTTGATGACCTAATGCTGAATTTTGAGGCTGACTTAAACTGTTGTAAGAAAAGAAATAATTTACACATGCATTAAAACCTATAATATATTTAAAAGTACATAATAAAATTTTATAATATATATATTAAATACAATATAATATAATTATTATAATAAATATAATGGATCTACATAGTCAATATAAAAAAATTATATAATCATAATAAATTTTATATAATCATAATATATTTTATATAATCATAATAAATTTAAACAGTCATAATAAGTTTTATATAATCATAATAATCCTACATGGAAGCCAACAAATCTACCACTGGGTGGCATGCCACTAGCATTGACTGATTTACTTATGTCTTAGGGGGCCCTTGCAACTCTCATGACAGCCAGTTGCATTTTAGTGAATAGAAGAATACCATACATTGTAAATAGGAAAATAAAACATACCACCAAGGTGGTACTCTGTCCCTCTTGGAGATGTTACAAATAAGAACTTCTTTTTGTTTGATTTGCTTCACATACTACTTGCTCTTTTCGTATGTTTTAATTTCATTGTGTTGGATAATGAATATATATATATATATATATATATATATATATATATATATTGCATTTTTGTAATATATATTTGTATACTTCACTGTTGTATATATAAAATGTTTTCTGGTTTAAGTCATATTTGGAGTTCATTTTTTGGGGTTATGTAACACCTACTGGGTGTTCTGGGGGTTGAATATGTGACCTGGTCAATTAGCAGCATTGCTACCCAGTAGGATCTTTTGGTCAGGCTGCCAAATGAGATGGTCGGTTGATTCTAATGGCATGAATATGTAACGGCTTCACACCAGATGCAACTGGTTTGACACCAGCTCCGTTGTTCTCAACTCACTTTCAATTACTGGTTACTGAAGTAACTACTTCAATCTCAAGTCTAACCTACCCATGGGATTTTGATCTTAGGTGGATGAAATCAATCAGAAACTGGGACCGTCATGCAAGATGAGTCTAAACTGAAGGTGACATCACACAAGAAAAAAGAAATAAATGAAAACCAAAAAGGTCTGGGTATGTTTAAAGAAAGCAAATCAACTTTTATCAGTCTGTTCTATACAGGGGTATGTGTTCTTCCAAACCCGTTTCTTCTGAGAGTGACACTTTTATACTTCTAAGCAAGTTCTCGTCTTCTAAGTCAAATGGTTTAGTTTTTAGACATTGGCTTAGCTTCGTTCGTCAGTATAACTTGCTGTTTGTAAAAAGGCGAGGTTGTGGAATCTCTCAGTCAGCTCTCTCATAGGTCTCTCCAACTGCAAAACATGAACTAGTGAACTGCCTAATGGTGCTTGCTTATATGGACTTCAACCAAAACCAGGTGCAGGGTTAGACGCAGCCTGGGGTCTTCGGTTAATCTCCGATATTCCAACAAGGGTCCCTTTGTTGTCTGGCCAAGAAAATTAATTACTTCCCATTTTTGGAAAGTTAATTACTTCCTATTTCTGGGGGAACCCCTTTGTCCATGAGGAGAGGTTGCAGGATAGCTATCCTTCTAAACTCCTTCCTCCTCACATTGGTACATCACACCAATTCCTTTTGGTGGGGATTAGTAACTTCTCCATCTTTTACTATCTTACCTCCATCTATCACCACTGCTACCACACAACCAATGGCATCTCGGTCATGCTGGTGTAACTAAGCTTGTTTCATTAATTAACTCTTTGACACAGGTGCTTATCCAGGATTTCTTATCCTGTTCCCAGATCATGAGCAGTTTAGAATTATCAACTGAATTTTGTTTATGCAAATCCTTTTTGTGTCCTGCCAAAATTCCTACAATTAAAAAATAGCCCTCTCTGTCTGGCCAATTCCTCGGTCATATTACCTGTTTACACAATATCTATGCACTCTTGAGCGATAGATCGCATCTTTGCTGATTCTGGTTATTTTGTGTTTTCTTAAACAGCACTTTTAATGATCATCATCTATTAACTGTCAGAGATCACCACATTGCCTTTTTTGTAAAATTATCATTGATGCAATTTTTCTGTTTCTTGAGAAGAATAGTCTTTTTGAAAAAAATAAAATCTTCTTATGTTGATTGGTATATCCCTCATTATAACTCTTAACCCTTCTTTTCTGTTTTCAGCATTTTCCTCTTCAATTTTTATGGTTAATTAGTTAATTAATTACCATAGCTAAATAGTGTCACAGTTATATTATTTCTTTCCATTGTGTTAAGGGATTTGTAAATCCATGATATATTAAGGTCTAATGTGGACATTGGAGAGTGGAGAAGAACAAGACATTTTTCTCTCATTCCAAGTATCTTTTGACAAGATGCACAAAATCAAAATTAAATGTGTCTTATGACAACAAAATATAAAGAAAGAAAGCACAAGATACAAACTAAAGTATGATAAGATGAAGAACAAATAGGAAACTTTTATAAATATAACATGTTTCAATTTCATTAAAGCTTTATCAGAGAATGAGATAAGGAGAAAGAAATTCTGGCATTTTTATTTTTTATGTTGTATGATTATCATTGGTTAAGCAGGTTTCACATGCATTTGACTTGTTACAATGCTAATTTAAATTATGGTGTTCAAATTTCCAAGGACAACTACTAAACATAAATAATGTCTACTAGACAAACACACAAACTTATGAATATATATCCTCATCTGAATCCCACATAGACAAACTAGAATTGCATATATAAATATTTACTTTTTTCAGTTAGGCTTGGAATCTCCTTGAGTTTAGAATGCCATATCTTATACTAATGCTGTTTAACAAGTCAAATGCATGTGAAGCCTGCTTAATCAATGAAAATCAAACAGTAAACTAAAAATACAAGAATTTCTTTCTTGTCTCATTCTATGATGAAGTTTTAATAAAAATGAAACATGTTAGATTAATAAATAGTCCTTATTTGTTCTTTATCCTATAATTATGTTGAATTTTGATCCATATTTGATCTGTATTAGATCCCAGTTCAAACTAAAGTATATAATGTTACTTACCTGATCTCAGATTTAAAAAACATATTTTTGAATCTTTCAAACAAATGTTTATCTGCACAAGCACAATAGATTTGTTTTGGATAATCAGCATTGTAGGTTGTTAATACCTCAAAATAAGACTGTAAAATAATGTCTCCAATATATCCTATAAAAGAAATAAAAATAGAATCATATGAGTTCAGTCAACTTTGTAAGAAAAATGTTCCAAATGTTCACTGAAATTTATTAACTCATTCTCGATATTTCTAAAGTTATAATAATAACAAAAATCAATATGTCTGTCAAAATACGAAAATTACTTGAATTTAAAAGTGAGCAGATTTTTGTGAAGAACTTATAACACAGAATATTATATTAATTATATATTGCCAGTCGCAATGAATGGATGTCCTCTTGAGGAGGCCCCATGCTTTGAGAGAATATTGGGCCTCACACCCAACCTTGAGTGGGATTCCTAGATCCAATCCATCACTAAAGATGCAGATAAAATGATCGTCTCCCTGTACTGCTTCTGTAAGTACACAACCCTCATGCTATCTTCTACCTTTATAAGAACCATATCCGACCGAAAATAGAGTATGAATGCCATATTTTGAGTGGGTGCTGCCCAGTTCTCACTTTTTAGTCTTCATAGAGTGTCTCCGAGTTCTTGTGGAAGAATTATTATCCACCCACCTCTCTCAGAGGTGGGATGTGGTGAGCCTCTCGCTGCTCTATTGCTCGTACCATGGAAAGTGGTTGGATGAACTAAATTCCTTGATCCTGCCAAGTCTAACTTTCATGGCTAAGATCCACTATGCTGCTTAGATCATAGAAAACATTCTCCTGTATTCGATTGGCAAGAAATAAGTTCCACTCAAACAGCTTCTTCCTGCAAACTGTTGTGCTAAATAACAGGCTTCCAAGGGGATTGTTTACTCGATCACTACAATCTTAACCTGTTCAAGTCTCATGTTAACCATTATCTTCCCTTCCTAACCATATAAATTATCCCTTAATGTAACCCTATAGCTTGAGTGGCCACTGGGCCTTGTACAGGTGAATGTTACTGTAGAATAAAAAATAAAATCTTATATATAATAGAAATATAACTAAATAATATGCAGTCACACACAAAAGAATAAGTTTGTTGAAATCTCTTCTGGTCTTCTTGTTTTCCAGACAACTTTGATCTTCAAAAATTTAAATGCAATATTGTCCTGGATGCAATCAGATGTTTGGAGGTATGATGATAAACTACATCCAGCAGCAAGGCCTCTGATTGGGAGATTGAGGTTGGATATCTTGGTACAGTTACCACAGAGGTTTGGCAGATAATCCACCCCATGTGGACAAAAGTGAAGTTCACAGCCCAGATGTGAGAATGGCAGATTTCTCAAATGCCACAAAGATTTGAGTGGGATGATAGCTAGAACAAGCAGTTCCATGAAAAATTTTGAAACCAATAATATGGCTAGTTCTCTTAAGTACTTAGACTGCTGCTTCCACCAGTTACTCATAAACCTGTAGCAGTATAATCAAAGTTCCAGATAAGTAAGCAAGTAATATTGATAATTATCTTCTTAATTCTTATTTTTTTTTTATTGTTTTCTCTCCTTAATTTTTTTTCTTTTTCTCATATTTTCTCACATTCAGGAACCATTTAGTATCTTAGTGGCTTTATTGCCTTGCTTGGGATAAAAAATATATAAGCAAAAATTAGGACTTTTTGTCTATGAACAAATGTATTAGAAAATTTAACAATTTTTCATAGAAAGTAAAAGTATTGGGCATTTATTGGGCAGACTAGTAAATGCTGTATTCAGCATTTACTAGTGTGTCCTTTTATCTTCTATGACTACACATCTATGTAATAAATGCAAATGTCAGTGTATCACTGTGTCACACTTTTTCAACTTTACTCTTAGAGGCCATAGTCCAAAATATCATACCATTTTGGAATTAGGCCAACTCTCTGAGAAAATTAAAAACATTCTGAAATGGATCTGGACCCACAATTATGAAATATATATATATATATATATATATATATATATATATATATATATATAAACTGTATAAGTCTGTCTATATTTCTGAGATGAGATATTATGTACATTATTTACATTATTCGGACTATTGTCCTCATCTTTGTTGCCATATTTATCACAACATTTCGGATGTTGTAAGCTCCGGTCTTCTTCAGGTGGTTGGAATGTCGAACTGAGCCCTTTATTTCGCTCACTGGAATTGGAATTGATTTAAAAATTGTATTCTTTTTAATAAGAACTGTTTGCAGAAACAATTGAACAATTACAGCCTAAAATATACTGAATATTTTCCTGGATATTTGTTAAATGTTTGTACCTTATTTTTTGGGCAACTATTTTCAATGTTTTAATAGATACAAGTAAAAATATCTACACCGTACAAATTTTAATTTGGAATGATATCTACATGGTAAAACAGTTGCTACATTGGCTTGTTATCTTTTCCTTGTAGATAAGATGCCAAAGTAGTACCATGTTTTACTATGTAGATATCATTCCAAATTAAAATTTGTATGATGTACCCATTTTAGCCAAGGTACATACTGTTTATCAGTAGAATATAAATAAAAGAAATTTTTTTAATATTTTAATTACATTTTCTTTATGCTAAATATATGTTATAAAATGTTTTACTATGTAGATATCATCCCAAAATAAAATTTGTATGGTGTAGATATATTTTGCTTGTAGATAACAAGTCAAAATAGTACCAATATATGACTGTTTGAGAATACCAGGTACACTGCATATAGAGTTGGAATTGGAAATCAGAGGACTGAGTTCAATTTCAGTTGGTTTTTTTTTTATATTGATTCACGTATAAATATCAATGGAAATTTATGAATACACCTTTTCTCCCGTCCAGTTATGGACGAATTAGTAAAACTAGTATCAGTAAATCATATTATCCTCCATGAAATTCTTACAATCTAAAAATATATTCTGTCTTTAAATACCCTGCAAAAAGCTGATAAGCCATAAAAAACAAATCAATCAATCGATCAGTCTTTGAAAGAATTTCAGGATTTGTAACTAAGCCTTTTTCTTTTTATGGTCCTAGACTTCTCTCTAACCAAGCTAGTACACTTCTGCACTGCTTTGTGTTACGATTGAACCCACCATCCAAAGAACAAGGTTAACTTATTAATTTATCTACTGTCCACTGACTTTACCACAAAAAAGTTGATGATGCCACTAAGATGCAAGGGGTTACTGGAAATGAAAGAGAATGAAAAGACTTTAGTGAGAAGAAAGGATTATAAAAGAACAGGTTTCAGGAAGAGAGAAAATGGCAATTTGCCTTGCATTGGGAATATTGGAAATTGTTGGTAGTAAGGAAGCAAGAAACTTAAAGAAAGTTTCTACAGATGAGAAGTGAGAGAAAAGAATATACTGTTACATCAAACTAGTTTGACAGTTAATAAGACCTAATTGACAATCTGGTAGTATGCTTAAATTCATGCAATTGAAGTGGTAAAGACAATAAAATTAATGATACTTAAATCATTGCCTGAATTAAAAACTGCAGTATTTTGCAGCTAACTTGGTTGACTGGCACATCACGATCTTTTTATAGTTCTCATTTGGTTCTGCATCATTCTAGACTTAACTAAGCAAATTTCAAAAACAAGATGGCAGAATGTGTATCTGTGGTTAACCAGAGAGTCTAAATCAAGCAAAAGGAATTTGATGCATATATTTTGTCTTGATTCAAACTTAGATAAATTTCATTGTTCAATGAGTTCTGATAAAGTCATAAAAAAATTAAAATAAAAAAAAAACTAACAACTTATCGGTTTAACAAATCCAACTTACAACCAACTATAAAATCTCATAAAATAAAAAAATACAGTCACTTCACATTTAATAACTTAGCTTTTTAATGGCAGCCACACATAAAACTAGCAATAAAATCCATATTAAATATTAAAGTAACTAAATATTAAATATTAAAGTAATTAAATATTCAAATAATTAAATATAAATATTAAAAGGAATCATATTAATTAAAATCAAATTAAATAAAAATAAAAAATTTTCTTGTACTGTATTTACAATATGCAGACCTAAGTAAAGAATATAGTCGATTTCTGAATTTCTTTATTATTTTTACTGTTCCATACACTAGACACTACGGTACTGTATAAATATTTAGAAAATAATTAGAAATGTTAAAAATGGTGAGAAAGTGGCATTAAATCAATCTGAGGCTGGATGTTTAAAACCAGTCATGAAGTAATGATTCTATGTCTAAAAACTGGTTATTGAATGACTGTAAAATCAGTTGTCATGTAAGGAGTGGATATCTAAAAACTGGTAATTGAGTGTGGAGTGGATGTCTAATAACTGGTCATTAAGGAGGAGTGGACGTCTAAAACTGGTCATTAAGTGAGGAGAGGATGTTTAAAAATCAGCCAGTAAAACTGGTTATTGAATGACTGTAAAAATCAGTTGTCATGTAAGGTGTGATATCTAAAAACTGGTAATTGAGTGTGGAGTGGATGTCTAAAACTGGTCATTAAGTGAGGAGGACGTCTAAAAAACTGGTCATTAAGGAGGAGTAGATATCTAAAAATTAATTATTAAGTGGGGAATGAAAGTCTAAAAGTGAGGAGTGGATGTATCAATAAATATTGACTTATTTACTTGTGGACTAATGTATTTATTTTTGCTGTAGTTGGACAATAGTTCACATGTAAGTAAGGTAAAAAAAATGATGACTCCTTATATCAGAAATTTAGACAGAAAATATTAACTTACCTGACTCATTTACAGGGAAGGCAACAGACTTGAATTTTTCAGATTTTGCTTGATTCAAACAACGAAATATTTTTTTTGATTGCATCAAAATATCCTTCAGAGTCTGGCTTATGTAGAAAAGAAGTTGTGTGTATGACATGTTTACATTCAAGAGCTCCACCATTTGTAATCATCACTGAGCTAAAATCCTGAATCTTTGGCAATTTCTTGTAAAACTCATCTTTAAAAGACTGGCCTCCTTTTTGGAAAATTTCCAAAGCACATTTAATGTCATTTGAAAGATCTGAATCAATGAAATGAACAATGGCATCAACTTTCATCTTGGTAATCATATTCTGGTGAAGATAAATTTCATTGTGATTTGATTTGTATTGAAAGATAGACATCTTCAATGTTTTTACCTAAAAACAAAAAGTTTAATGAAATCAAAATTTGATGCAAATAAAAAAAACAAAATAAAAAAGCTATATCACTGAATAAATATTATATTCATACAAATTTAACATAGAGTAAATATATAACCACATAAATCAAGCCAAACCCACATTTCTCAAACACATATGACATGCTTGCAGAAGTGTTGAGGTCTCACATTTATACACACACTCGCACAAATATACACACATACACATATCGCACACACTCCCAAAGAACTAAAAATTAGCATACACTTAACACACTCCCATTCCCAGCAACCAATAAAACTGTCAAAA